CGCTGTTGAAGACTCATCATGGGCGAGACTGCGAGAGTAGCCAGATGTAACGTTTAGGTAGGACAAAGCTTGTTCACTATTGCGCATCTAGATATTCTGCATTGACTTTTCAAATTGGATGCAATTTGCAGGATCAATGTAGAATTAATATTTCGACTCGGGAAAGACTTTTTTTTTATCAAATCCTAACTAAAGGACTAGGATAGAGAAAACATCAAATCTTTTGTGACGATGAAATTAAACAGCAATGTAAATTTTGATTGACGATATTAATCGATATTCGATTTCCGGTACTGATTTACTTCCTCATTTCTCTATAAGAGAAGAAAAAATTAATACGAATCGTTCGTTTATATATCAGAGTTAATTTATTGAATAAATTAAAGGGGTAAGTACCTGAAAAATGAAAACGAATTGTCATTGCACTTGGACAATCTTCTGACACTGATTTCTGGTATTGATCGATATTCGATTTTCGGTACTGATTTACTCTTTAATTTCTCTAAAAGAAAAAAAATTGATACGACTCGTTCATTCATCCGCGTTAATTTGATGAATAAATTAAATATGGATCGGTCTCCAATTTTCGGTACTGATTTATTCTCTCATTTCTTTATAAGACAAGAAAAATTGATACGGATCATTCGTTTATTCGAGTTAATTTGTTGAGTAAATAAGAGGGATAAATACTTGAAAAATGAGAACAAATTATCATTGTACTTGGACAATTTTCTGACACTGATTTACGGTATTGATCGATATTCGATTTTCGGTATTGATTTACTCTTTCATTTCTCTGTAAGAAAAAAAAATTCATACGAATCGTTCATTTATCCGCGTTAATTTGATGAATAAATTAAATATTGATCGGTCTTCAATTTTCGGTACTGATTTATTCTCTAATTTCTTTATAAGAGAATAAAAATTGATACGAATCGTTCTTTTATCCGACTTAATTTGTTGAGTAAATTAGTGGGGTAAGTACCTGCAAGATGAAAACAACTTGTCATTGCACTTGGACAATTTTCTAACGCTGATTTATAGTATTAATCAATATCCGGTTTTCGATAATGATTTAGTCTTTGATTTCTCTATAAAAGAAAAAAAGATTCATACAAATTGTTCATTTATCCGCATTTATTTGATGAAAAAATTAGATATTGGACGGTCTTCGATTTTCGGTACTGATTTATTTTCTTATTGTTTTATAAGACAAAGAAAATTGATACGTATCGTTCGTTTATCCGAGTTAATTTGTTGAATGAGATTAGAGGGGTAAGTACCTGAAAAATGAGAACAATTTGTCATTGCACTTGGACAATTTTCTGACACTAATTTACGGTATTGATCGATATTCGATTTTCGGTATTGATTTACTCTTTCATTTCTCTGTAAGAAAAAAAAATTCATACGAATCGTTCATTTATCCGCGTTAATTTGATGAATAAATTAAATATTGATCGGTCTTCAATTTTCGGTACTGATTTATTCTCTAATTTCTTTATAAGAGAATAAAAATTGATACGAATCGTTCTTTTATCCGACTTAATTTGTTGAGTAAATAAGTGGGGTAAATACCTGCAAGATGAAAACAACTTGTCATTGCACTTGGACAATTTTCTTGACATTGATTTATGGTATTGATCAGTCTTCGGTTTTCGGTACTGATTTATTTTATCATTTTTTTATAAGACAAAGAAAATTGATACGAATCGTTCGTTTATCCGAGTTAATTTGTTGAATAAGATTAGAAGGGTAAGTACCTGAAAAATAAGAACAAATTGTCATTGCACTTGGACAATTTTCTGACACTGATTTATTAATCGATATTCGGTTTTCGGTACTGATTTATTTTCTCATTTTTTTAAAGGACAAAAAAAATTGATACGAATCGTTCGTTTATCCAACTTAATTTGTTGAATAAGATTAGAGGGTTAAGTACTTGAAAAATGAGAACAAATTGTCATTGCACTTGGACAATTTTCTGACACTGATTTATGGTATTAATCGATATTCGATTTTCGGTACTGATTTACTCTTTCATTTTTCTATAAGAAAAAAAAATCATACGAATCGTTCATTTATCCGCATTATTTTGATGAATAAATTAAATATTGATCGGTCTTTAATTTTCGATACTAATTTATTCTCTCATTTTTTTATAAGACAAGAAAAATTGATACGAATCATCCGTTTATTCGAGTTAATTTGTTGAGTAAATTAGAGGGATAAATACCTGAAAAATGAGAACAAATTGTCATTGCATTTGGACAGTTTTCTGACACTTGAAAAATGATTTACGGTATTGATCGATATTCGAGTTTCGGTAGTGATTTACTCTTCCATTTCTCAATAAGAAAAAAAAATTCGTACGAATCGTTCATTTATCCGCGTTAATTTGATGAATAAATTAAATATTGATCGGTCTTCAATTTTCGGTACTGACTAATTCTCTAATTTCTTTATAAGAGAATAAAAATTGATACAAGTCTTTCTTTCATCCGACTTAATTTGTTGAGTAAATTAGTGGGGTAAGTACCTGCAAGATGAAAACAATTTGTCATTGCACTTGGACAATTTTCTAACACTGATTTATAATATTGATCAATATCCGGTTTTCGGTACTGATTTAGTCTTTGATTTCTCTATAAAAGAAAAAAAGATTGATATAAATCGTTTGTTTATCCACGTTAATTTGATGAATAAATTCGATAATGATCGGTATTCGAATTTTCGGTACTGATTTCTCCTTTCATTTTTCTATAAGAAAAGAAAAAATTCAGACGAATTGTTCATTTATCCGCGTTAATTTGATGAAGAAATTAGATATTGAACGGCCTTCGATTTTTGGTATTGATTTATTTTCTCATTTTTTTATAAGACAAGACAAATTGATACGAATCGTTCGTTTATCTGAGTTAATTTGTTGTATAAGATTAGAGGGGTATGTACCTGAAAAATAAGAACAAATTGTCATTGCACGTGTGCAATTTTTTGACACTGATTTATGGTATTAATCGATATTCGATTTTCGGTACTAATTTACTCTTTCATTTCTCTATAAGCAAACAGAAAATTAATACGAATCGTCCATTAGTCCGCGTAAATTTGATGTATAAATTAGGTATTGATTGGCCTTCGATTTTCGGTATTGATTTATTCTCTTATTTCTTTATAAGAGAAGAAAAATTGGTACGAATCGTTCGTTTAACCGAGTTAATTTGTTGTGTAAATTATAGCGGTAACTACCTGAAAAATGAGGACAAATTGTCATTGGACAATTTTTTGACACTGATTTATGGTATTAATCGGTATTCGATTTTCGATACTGATTTACTCTTTCATTTCTCTATAAGAAAACAGAAAATTAATACGAATCGTCCATTAATCCGCGTTAATTTGATGAATAAATTAGGTATTGATCGGCCTTCGATTTTCGGTACTGATTTATTCTCTCATTTCTTTATAAGAGAAGAAAAATTGGTATGAATCGTTCGTTTAACCGAGTTAATTTGTTGTGTAAATTACAGCGGTAACTACCTGAAAAATGAGAACAAATTGTCATTGGACAATTTTCTGACACTGATTTATGGTATTAATCGGTATTCGATTTTCGATACTGATTTACTCTTTCATTGCTCTATAGGAAAAGGAAAAATTGATACGAATCGTTCATTTATCCGCGTTAATTTTTTTTTTATTATATATAAGTGGTCCATGAGACGATTAAATATTCGAATACATGTTGCCGTATCAAAGTCTCCTCTATAATAAACGATTTGACACGTCTGGAGACGCATGATGTATCGTTGCCCGTATCCCATTCCCTTCGTCCTGCTTCCCTGTATAAAATGTCGAATTGAAACGTATTAAAAAGTATTGACATTTTGAATATGTCTGAATTCTGAATCTTTTTGATCCGAAAAAAAGGATTGAGAAATATTAGTTCCCATTAAATTTTACTGCGCTAAATGCGAGACGGTCTCTTTCGCCCTGGTGCCTCACCAGGGAAATTTCTCTGGTACGCTAAATCCCGTAAGGCCATCAGTCTTTGTAGTATATCTCGTCGGTGCGTAAGATTTATATTAGCTGTACATACATATTTTGAAACATTTTCTTTGGATATTATATCAAACGGATTTTGCGTGTCACGTAATATCCTTCGGACTACACGGACATTATTATTTTGATCATTTTGATTTCTTTGGTATTCATTGAATTATCCAGAACGCGCAACCGCCATGTTGAACGACTCAATTGTCGTGTGAAATATTTCGTTTTTCACAAATTCATGTAAAATTTTTCATTTTTCACTGATTCACAGAAGTCTTTCACTTTTTATTAGTTCACGCTAGGGAAAAGATTCATGATCGCTGCCCCGAGCTCAAATTTCTGTCATTAATAACTCGATAATTATTGCGAATCTCGCAAAATGGTATGGGACTTTTATGTTTGTCTCAACCCAATCTATCCTCACACTTCGGATTGGCAGCTAATTACCGGACACTTCGTATGATCTTCATGATATTAATCATACACAATTAATTCTTTCTTTTTTTGCACATATTAACATGTTAATTCATGTTATAAACGCGTAACAATGTGCGAGACCGTGCTTGCTTGTCAAGTACGCTATTATGGTTGTAGCACGGACATAAACCTCCTAAAAATGGATGTAGCACGGACTGCCACCACATACAAGTTTTACCGCCGAAACCTGAAAGTGGATGTAGCATCGTAGTTGCCCTCTCAAAATGGATGCAGATGGCGCCCTTTCCCAGTGCGGAAAGTCAGTGTCGTCGAAAACACCGTGTTGGCCGCTCTTACGTTTCTCTCTGCTTTAACTTATTCCACCAGTTCAACAGTGCAGCTACAAAGAACAGACCATATATAAAAATATATAAAAATGATGGCAGCACCTAGCGGTGGAAAGGAGAATGGCGTATAGGTATGTACACCTACCTTCTATCTAAAGCCATATACCGAACTGTACTGACACCTTGCGGTGGTGTTTAACCTAATATCATCATATGTGGTTTTGTATTGCTCGTGAATGTATTTGTATCAATTTATTATGATAAAATAACAGAAATTGATACTTTTTAATACCGTAAACATTTTTAAGGGAAAAAAATAAATATCAACGACAAGTATTAACAAGTGCCATTATATTACTAATACGTAATATGTATCATAACATGAAATAGATGCAAATTTTTTTGTATCATTTTTACTGTATAACGTGTTAGTACCATTTGTTTCTATGTTACATTATTTTTTATATAATATTTCAGCTCCACTCAAGAGAAAAATTTTGCAGAAAAGATGAGTTTATTTGTTATGAACAGGCAAGTTACAACAGCAATATATAATATTTTTAATTGAAATATATAATAATTTATTTTAATTTTAAGAATGATTATATTTGAAATTTTAATATATAAGTAATTTACTTTTGATTGTTTTATAATATAAAATATATATATTTTTGCAGATATGAGGGGGAAAGCAAGGAGGAAGTTAAAGATCATATTGATCATCTTTCCAATTTGTTAAAAAGGATAGAGGAACGTAAAAGACAAAGGTCTATAGATAATAAATCCACATTAGCAGATGTAGATAAAGGCAATTTAGAAAAAGCCAAGAAAAAGGAGAAAAGAGATAAACATTTACCTGAAGAAGAGAAAAGTGATAATCTATGTATCGAAGACAAGGACAAGAACAATGAGGAAATTAATGAACATTCTGTGGAAAAAGTAAAAGCACAGGTTAAAAGTAAAAAGAGGAAGGAAAAAACTATTGAGAATGAAGATTCTCCAACTGAACACTTAGTAACACAAGATCAGGAATTGGAAAAAGGAAGTGAAAACTTTAAAGATGAAGATGACAACAATGAGAAAAACAAAACATCTTTGCAAAGCCATTTTATGATATTGGGAGCAAAACCCCAGAAGAAGCAACATGCTGTCAAGCGAGTATTACCAGATTGGCTGGTACACCCTGAAGTTATATCAGCTGACTTAAGTAGCGGACCTAATATAGATGAGTTACATTCAATCTTGGATCCCAAACTGGTAGAAGCCTTAAAGGCCAATGGTATTGTTAAATTATTCCCAGTTCAATCTAGTGTGATAAAATGGTTACATTCATGCAACAAGGACAGAAGAGTAGGTTGGTGGTTGAGAGACACTTGCGTATCTGCTCCTACAGGCAGCGGTAAGCATTTGCAACTGTTAAGAATAACTGAGATGATTGATTTATAATAGTGGACTTTTTTAATGTTATTTCGTACTTTTTTGTTACAGGCAAGACGTTGGCTTATGTATTGCCAATTGTGCAGCAACTTCAGACACGATTAGTGCCGAAAATCCGCTGTCTGGTTGTTCTGCCAGTGCAAGAACTTGCTGCCCAAATTCACAAAGTAATGGTTACCTATACGTCTCACACAAATTTGAAGGTCGGCTTACTCTCTGGTATTTCTTCATTCGAACAAGAGCAAAGCAGTATAATCAAGAAAAGTATATATCCGTCGATGAACTAAACCGTTAATATTCACCAATTAATCAGTACTTAAACTTGGCAAATTTATTTTCAAAGCTGCAAGGGGAAACTACCTATCTACAGTGGACATTGTAATCGCGACACCTGGGCGTTTAATTAGCCACATATTAAAGACACCAGGATTCTCTTTGGATTTCCTAAGGTTTCTCGTTATCGACGAGGCCGACCGTACGACAGAATGGTTACAGTACCTACCAGAATTCCATTCTCGGGCTCATAGCTTAACGATTGGAAATGTGCACTCAAGGTTGTACACATCATGTTACTTTGTAGACAAGAAAGATTGACTGTCATTAGCACTAGTCTGAAATTTTAATTTTTAAACAGCGAAATCGCGCCAGCCCAGAAGCTGTTATTCAGCGCTACCCTGTCGCAAGATCCCGAGAAGCTAAGTCGGCTGGGGCTCTTCCAGCCTATATTATTCACTACGGTCATGGTGACAGGCAAAGACACCGATGTGAATCTGGATAAGATGACGGGCGAGTTTGCTGGACGTTACACGAGTCCGGGAGAATTGACGGAACTCGCGGTGGAATGCGCCGCCGAGTACAAGCCGCTTGCATTGTATCACCTCTTGACGAGGCACGACACGATCTCCAAGACTCTAGTTTTTACGAATTCTGGAGATACCGCGCATAGGCTGGCTCTCTTGATCCGGTCTCTCCTGTCGGAACGGAATGTCACCGTCGGGGAATTATCCGCTCAGCTCATGCCGAAACAGCGCGAGAGCGTTCTCAGCAAATTTGCAAGTGGAGAAACACACGTGTGAGTGTTGCATTCTATCAAACGATATAGAAATATAATGTGCCTTCCAACTTGAAAGTTCGTTACAGACTTACTTCAGCCTCAGTAAAGCGATAGCTCAGTCAATGTTCTCTCATGTTGTTTCTCTCAGGTTGATAAGTTCAGACGCGTTGGCTAGAGGCCTGGACATCCCGGAAGTGCAGCTGGTTGTATCTTACGACGTCCCGAAACACATCAAGGGCTACATACACAGAGCCGGCAGAACTGGGCGGGCGGGAAAGCCGGGGACTGCGGTGTCTGTCCTCACGGCGAGTCAGATCGGGATATTCAAGCAGATGTTAAATGGCGCGCATAAAGTCGTACCGGATATCGAGCGGATGGAGCTGAGCGGCACTGCGGACGCGATCGGCTATCAGAGCCATGTAGAGAAATTGAAGGGGACTCTCGAGAAGGAGCGAAGCGACAATTTGGAGCGAACGAAAGCGATCAAACGAAGACGCGCGGCAAACGTAGCTAGACAAGATGGAAAGACAGACTGACGTTTGGCAGCAGAGATAGAAATAAAAAGTGTACATAACAATCCCTGTATGACACGCGTGAATCATTAATTACCTCTTCTACAATCGCCGCTCGTGCGACTGGTACTCGTCCGTTCGGTCGAAGGTGCAGAAACATGGCGAATGCGGGTCGTAGGGTAACATCGATAATAACATTTTATTGTCTGAAGTTAATAGTATCGTACATCATGCTCATTCCCTATCGCAATTCGTTCTATGGGCAGTCGCGATATACATATTTTATTCGAACTGTGTATTAATTATATTATATTAATCCCGCTGTCTTCTTCTTCCTCTTCTTTTTCTTCGTTTTCTTCTTTTATTCCGTCGAAGGCGAGGTATTCACAGTTTTAATTTACAAAAGATAAACGACATCGTTCATCGGATAACGACGCAGACACAAGTTATTACTATTATTGCTATGCGTAGCCACATTGCTCGGAACTGATCGCATGAAACCTTCCTTCATTACATTCGGAATCGAAAGTCTGAGGGATGTTTGATTATAGATCCTTCCGCGCGATTTAGCTTTCAAGGGTTGAGGGGTATTGTTGCTGGGAAAATTGCATGCTTCTCCTTCAAACTGAACTCGATGTCGGGGATGCTCGATATTCAGGAAAACAGCCACAATTTGTAATAGCGCGTAGTTACAGTAGTCAGTATTGGATTACAAGTTACGGCAGTGTCCATTTCTTGAGTCGTGCTAGATTTAAGAGAGGAAAGTCCAAGCGAGAGAAATACACGTAGGAAGAACTCTTTTCGAAGAAGTTTCTCTTTGCGTTAGTTGCAGCTTAAACTAATTGGTTTTACACTCAACGGGAAGCGAAGGAAAAACTCTTAACAAGCATAAATCCGTAGAGCAACTATTTTCGAGACAGCCAGTTTTTAACTCTGTAAACCATATACTCTCCCCTCTTCTCTTTGTACGCATATTTTCATATCGTTTACATCTTTAATTTTAATTTTACTTAGAAAATTTTGTATCGGTATTTCCTCAAATCCCGCTGATTGAACAAAATCTCGCACTTGCTTTTTACAATCATCAACAATAACAGCGAGTTACGGCGTCTCTACAGTTTCGCCGCGCTCGGTATTGGCGAGCGTTGGCGCGCTGCGCATTACGCATGCGCGCCAACGTGCGTCACGTGGTCGAGCGATCATGTGATCGAGTGACCGCGTGACAGAACGATCAGCTGACGAAGTGGGGAAGCGGACCTGCGTTCCGTCACGTACGTATTACGTAACGCGCACGTGACGGAACGCAGCTCGCTCTCGCTCGCACGTTGTGCCGTCTCACTCGCAGGGGTCGATGACTTCGAGGCCAATCGAGCGCGCTCGATACGATTGTCAATATCTCCGTTTCCACAAGTCGTAACGGCTTAAAACGGGAAGCTGAGATTCCGGCGTTTCTCGTGAACACGCCACTGAATCCTGTTCGAATTAACGATCGGTATATTGCGAGAAAAATACATTGTTTTTTCTTCTTGGCGATGTAAAGTGTAATCAGAGGAAGAAGATAAGCGAAATTGCATAGAAAAAACGGCGATACAAGAATAGTAGTTGTACAGGGAATTTTTAATTCGCAATGTGAAAAGCTGAATGTCTCGAAAACGATTGGTTAGATTTGGGGTTTTGTGTCTATTAAGAGCTTTCGTTTGCTCTCGTCTGTTCTCGTTTGGTTGAAATTTCTCAAGATTCTGAGACACCCTGCACGCTTTGTAAACGGACGTCAAGTTTAATTAGAAATTTACGTTGCGCGTCAAGAATTTTTCGCTCAGTCTGCGATATTTCTAGCCGTATAAATATGTAAAATCTGAGTCCCGTTTAAACGATTGTGCCGAGGACTTGCGTTATTTCCTCCCTAACATATTATCTCTGCGTGACACATTCAATTACACGACTTGCATCAAAGTTCTGGGCATCCTCAAACTTGTAATTCAAGCTTCGGGCGTGCTCAAAGCTACTGGGATTGTTACTGTAATTTCGCATTGTGCGACCGCAGTCGCCAAGTTGAGTTAAACAGCGGAGGGCACACCAAAGTAACCGTCCGCTTAGAGAAGCTTCCTTAAATCACGTTTCCAACATATTCACGAATTTTTGCTGGTCGGCGCGCTGTAAACAATCACGTGCAATCGTATCAGACTTTTCACTGGCCGCTAATTTTGTGCTGGCTGTTTACGTTGGCAGGCTATAAACGGATCGGCCTTCGGTTCTCTTGAGAATTTTTGGACCCCTTCGAGCAAACGTCTCTATCTCTCCATGAAGATATTTAATGAATTAATATAGAGATATATACTTGGTGTTTGTTTCAGATTTCGCGTGTTTGCAGCCTTAGGCCTTCGCGACTCCCACAATTTGCCCTTAAATCCAGTACAGATTGGCAATCGCAGCGCCGTGGTATACACGGAGCAAGGATCAGCAACGTTTTGTCACTTGCTGGCCACATCCAATCCTTCACTTCGATGTTCAATCGAGAATTCGTAAAGGTCCGACGTGACGAAAAGAGCGCAATGTACAAAGCACAATGGGCGCAATAAAACGTTACACATACGTCGCGCGCTTCAACATTTTATAACTCTGTGTAGATAAACCAGATGCCGGGAGAACCCAACAGAGTTACGAGGCTAAGCGAAATTCCCTGCAGACGAGAATAAGAGAAATGAGTTACAGGTCCAAACGAAAGTTACCGTGTATAAACGGAAGAGACGGCGATCCCGGCGATTTCGTTGCACGAGCTACTTCACGCACTTTCGAAGGTCGGAAACGTAAAAGAATAATCTCTCGACGGTACTTCGCCGAAGTCTGAAAATTAAAGTCTGACGCTATATACACACACACGCACACACGCGCGCACACACACACACATACACACACGATAATCTCGAGAGAAAGCGGGGGGGGTGGGGGCTACACTTACGAACCTGTACAAGTGACGAGACTTAGGCCGGTATTCATAGTCAGATCTTAGGGAGGATTCACACCTAGGCGGAAAAGCAGAAAGGCAACATCCAATCAGAAGTCGCGTTGATAGTCTGTCTCTGTCTCTCAAGAAAAAGACAGACTACCAGCGCGACTTTTGATCAGCTGCTGCCTTTCTGCTTTTCTGCCGAGGTGTGAATCCTCCCTAATACTTAAGATTATCATCTTAAGATTATCTTCAGATACTGCACAGACCATTTCATTGGCTACAGAATGTCTAAAGATAAACATAAGGGAGAGTTCACACCTCGGCGAAAAAGCAGAAAGGCAGCATTCAGTCACAAATCGTGCTGATAGTCTCTCTCTCTCTCTCTCTCTCTCTCTCTCTCTCTCTCTCTCTCTTTCTTGTGAACCAAGGTGCGAATTCTCCCTAAGCCGATCTTAAATATAAGACTCGACTATGAATATTGGCTTTAGTTACCGATCTTTCCTCTGTGACAGAACGAAAGCTGCCGAGCGGCCGAAGAAGGATACCCTCGCTCGGACCTTTCGTCGTGTGAACTCTAACGAACGAGCAAGATTCCACATTTACTTAGATGCGATGCGTATAATTATATGTATATATGTATATAACTGTATACGTGGGTGGTACGTGTCGTGTGCGCACAGGCACCAACAACTAGTCTCCCCCGTGTCTCATTATGTTACACCGCGCGCGCAAGAGAGAGACCGTCCCCTACGCCTCACACATTATACAAAATCTAGCCTCGTTTCGCTACGCGAACGAATCCTACAATCGCTTTTGCGCGATCCCCGAAACCCGAAACGTCTCCACACACACACACACACACACACACATATACACACACGCACGCACGCACGCACACACAGCTTCGGTGTTATTTACACTTAAGTAGCTCGTTGACGTGTTATACGGAGAGCGGTACGTATATATACATTAAACGTGGTCCTATATGATTCATATGTCTCGTTGCTGTGTACGTTTATCATTTATGCTCCTAACGAGAGCCGAGATTCATTCATTCTCTCGCCACGACTCCGCGCTGGTGCTGGTGTCTTACGGTAAGAGGATGTCCAACGGGCTCCTCGCCTGATGAGACCTTGCTTGTATTTTACGGAAATGTACATTATGTATACGTCGCATATACAGGGTGCGTAAAAACAATTGCGCGCGCGCGCGTTTTTATCTCGTACCGCGTTGCATGCATCGGAAAATGAGCTGCGGGCCAGGTGGGGGGGGGGTGGGAGGGGGATGGTTGAGGGTTACGTCGTTTATATCTCGAAGCGAATTCTCCTTATGCTTCAGTCAAGATCCTCGAGGACAATAGAGTCATGCTCCTGAATCGATCTTGCGTGGGCGTTCGGCGAGGGTTCGATTCTCGTCGAACGCTCGAGAGCCACGCGAAGAGGATGCGCGTTCTCTTTTTACTCGGTACCCTGTATATCGTACGGGGTGTGCTGCCAAGCGGTCTGTGCTGCGGATTAAAAACTCGCCGGATCATCGAGCGGCGAGGTGTGTTCCTCCCGCTGTCGCCGAGGACACGTCCGAACGCACGCGACGACGCATTTCGCGCCCATTCGAGACGATTTATAATTAGTGAGCGAATTCGCGCGCGAAACACAGAAGGTCTGTTCTGAAAGTTTGGTGTTGGTTATGAGGTTGGTAGGCCTTAAACTAACTTGGACATGTTCTGTAATTAATTAGCTCATCACGCTTGGACGTTCATACGTGTACTATTAGTACGGAAACTATATCTTTTTTAGATAAAATGTAAGACAAAATGGCCATTTTAGAAAAGAAAAATAAATCTAAAGAGCAGCGAAGTTAAGGGCTATCCTTTTAAAAGGATACCGTACAATGAAGACCATATCTTTTTGGATAAAATTAAAGGCAAGGTGGCCATTTTAAGAAAAAAAAAAAATCTAAAGAATAAAGCAGCTACGTAAAGGACTGTTCTTTTAAGTAAAGGACATATGGTCACCGTAACTATTAAGAGTATGCAAGAGTTTTAATCTTCTTTTTTTTCTATTTCACGCAGTCGCCTTAAAACTGGTTGCTTGGTCAACTCCGAGCTGTTCTGCAAGTTCTACTTGCATTTAGGACGGTTATATTTTCCCCAAAAACAGCAAATGGATTCATATGTTTAGCAGCATTTTTTCTCGCTGAAATTCATATCGAATGCAACATCGAATAAAAAGTTTCTTGTCGCTCATCGCATCAACCGTTATTTTTGAGGTTATGTGAATTAATATTTTAGAAAGTTCAATACCAACCTTAGAAAAACACAAAACGGCGGGAAAATTTTCAACTTAGAATAATTACATTAGAGAACTAAAAAAATTTAAGCTTTTACATATGCCTAATACTTCTGTTTACAAATTTGATTTTGGCTAATTTTGCAATATTAGGAGAAGAAATGGATAGATTTTTTATTACTTATTTTCTTGATAATCGATCAGCTGATCAATGACGAAACATATCTAAATTAGTTTAAGGCCTGCCAACTTTGTAACTAAAACTGAATCTTCCGAAACTGATTTCGCGACAGTCCCAGAGTGCTCTAAAACGGGATTGGCCAGTATCGAGATCTGCGTAGACGCGCGGCCATACATGCTGTGAATGTAATTACGATTCTTCAAAGTTGCCGCTCGCGAGCGGACTTCCGTCCTGGATTCCGCCGCGAATTATAGGCCATCTAAAGCGCGGAGGTGCCTCCGTGTATCGGGAGCGCGCGGTATCGATTCCCTGAAATATAGCACTACGGAGTGCCGGCTCGCAAACGAACGAAGGAAGAATATACTTTGCGCAGCCGACAGCCGATACTTCGTCCGTCCGTGTCGATTTGCGGCAATCTTCGAGCCTCAACAGGTCGCGCGTGATCTGGCAAGACGCGATACCACTCGCGCATTAAGCGCGGTATGCATTAAATCGGTCTACATATGTGCGCGTGTTTCTGTTTTTTTACTCGGCGAGGAAAAGAAAAGGAAAAAGGGGAATGCGTATTCGCGCGCGGCGGGAGGGGAGCAGCGGCTAGGGAGGGGAATTAAACCGCCCGGCGTTTTCTAGCGAGCTTTTAAGCCGAACAAACGTTTCTCGATCTGACGGGACCTCACCTACAACACCGTATTTATTGTCGTGCCCTCCGCTTTGGATACGAACTACAGCATATACGTCGGCTCATCTAGTCGTAAAAAAGTGCACCGACCGAGAACTAAGCCGCAGCAATTTGCGATAGTCGAGCGCACATTCAGCCCCCGCCGGGGTTCGCGTCCCCGTCGGCTCAACGGATCGCTCAATGGAAAGTTAAGAAAATATCGTGGAAGACGAAACGGGGCCTTTTTTCTGTGGGACACGGTCGCGGGGCCTCGGTAGCAGGGGAGGGGTTGGAACGAGGGGCGGGGAAGGGGATCATGACTTTGAAGTGGAATTTTTCGAACGTGAGTCCCACCTTCTTACGCGACGAAATATTTTGTACTTTGTCGATTCTTTGTATCTTATATCGGCGAGTGGCCCGTTTTGGTGCGTTCTTTTGATTCTTTCTTTCTACATTCTTTTTTTTTTAATGCAACCGCTCTCGACTCCAGGGAAGCTCATCGTGAATTCTCCTCGCGATCTTCCTCTCTCTCTCTCTCTCTCTCTCTCTCTCTCTCTCTCTCTCTACATATCTATAAGCGGAGTCGTAATTAAGTGCTAGGGCGCGCTCGTTACGTGTGCCGTAGCCTAGTTACGACTTCGTCTGTAAATACGCGTATAAAATATGGAGAATCAAAAGGAACGGGTAAAACGCAACAGAGGTGCAGCTTATTGGTGTAGCCTGGCGTTTTGTCGGAGAAGCGAGTACGTTCACGCTCAGCTTCTTTTCCGCCGTGCAGCCCCGCACGGCGGGGGATTCCCCGCGTTCGCATATAGCAACATTTCGGAAGACACTTTGCAATTTATGCGCCCGGGGCTACTCCCGTAGCGTAGCGGCGAAAAACTAGCGAATCTTGTCGATGGAGGCGCGTCCTTTGACGCATAAAGAGAAGAACTCGCGTGGAACGTTATTATACAGCTTGCTCCGAAAATCGCCGCACGGTACAGGAGCTCCCGATGATAAAGCGCTCCGTATCCACTGCCGTGGCTACCACGTGCGTCCCCTCGCGGCGGCCGAGCGGAAGGAACAACTCGCTGATTCTCCTGGATCTCCTCCGTCTCGAAGCGACGAGAATATGAACATCGATTCGCGAGAACTCTCAGAGTGCTACTCAGAGACAAAACGAGCTGTCGGTTGGAGTCGCGGTCTAACAATAGTACAAGAAGAGACTAGCGGCGTCTGTATTCAGAGACACCTTTTTATGATTCAGTATCTTGTATTAAGCCCAGCTTAAACTACCTGTAGGGGTAGTCTAAGGTTTAACTTTTCGTATCCGTTGATATCATCAAGAATGATCTGCCGATGTTATTTGTTCTCCCTTTTTAATATCGAATCCGCCAGGAAACTTTTCTCCTTGTGCTCCAATTAGCCATCGCTTTATTTTATTTAATGTATGCATTAACAATAATTTCATTGTCACAAATTGAAAAGAAAAAATAGGGTGACAATATAGACACGAACCTCAAAAGTCGCGCTTCGACGATTCCCTGGTGATTGCATTTCGTTAGCCCCGAAGTATCTGAAGATAAATTTCGGACGATTAAATGTGAGATGCCAAATTTAAACCATTTCGGGGAAATGTCTCTGAATGACATAACCTTAGCAAAATTATTACGGTTTTACACGTTGTCTCTGAATAGCATCCTTAACGTGGAGTCAGCAGATTCATGCATCGCGCGAATTTCGCGTACTCGCCGGCGCGCCTCGTCGGACATCACGGAGAAGGAAAAACGAAGGGAGAAAGGACAAAGGGGAAACTAATTTGTCGCAAGTCGCGTCCTTTCTCTTCCTCTTTCTTTTTTCAACAGCACATGTTACTCTTTCATTTATTTACTGCTCCGTCTTCGCTGTCGTATGTTTGGCTCTCCTCCGCTCTCCCTTTCTTTCCTTTTGCCGTGCAGTGCCCGTTAAACAGTTAAATGCAATTGTCACGATGATCTCGATGAACCTCGCGGTGCGCGCGGACGTCGACCGGGCGAGGAGAGCTCGTCCAGCACAGTTCCGACATACATTTGTACCTCGGCGTCCCGGGATTCCCCTTCTTCCTCCGCGTTCCGCCGTGCGATGTCGCTCGGCCAGCGCGATGCACGAACTTGTTTGACCTGTATTTTATCTACAGTCCGATTAATCGCCGGTTACGTCTGAAACGCGCCGACACCGTCCGCGCATATTTACAGAGAACTTGTCAGAGAGACCTCGCCGCTCGCTTCTGCTTTTCTCTTTTCTTTCCGCCTTTCTTCTTTTCTTCTTTCGGTCGCGCCGCAGTGACTACGTCCCCGCGATCGCGTCTAAAGGTACGTTCTCGTTACATCGAATAAAGGGGAAGACCAATTTCCTTGTTTTTACGCCGTCGCCCCTGTCGCGAACCATCGCGGAGCCTCAAAGCGCGATATGGGAAATGCAAGAGGAGAGACGCAGGATTCAATTACGCCGCTCCGCGCACGCGAGCGAGAGAGAGAGAGAGAGAGAGGGAGGGAGGGAGGGAGGGAGGGAGAGAGAGACTCGGGACTCGCTGGAACATAAAGTCTGACAGGTATATCACGACAAAATTCCTCGCCGAGCGCGTCCCCTTCGCTTCCACGTCTTCGGTACTCAGAAGAGTCCTCGCCGATTTTTGTTGCTCACAATTCTAGGAATTTTTCTGAACGACAACTAATGTAACACGATACGTAAATCGCACTGAAAGGTACAGCCCTCGAGTCGTTCAATCGTCACGTTTTGAGGCAACTTGTCTGTGTACCCAATAACTACGCGACCCTGAAGCGACGCACGCAGACCGGCACAACATGGCCTCAACATTCAGCACAGAGTTGCTGACAGAACTTCTCCCTAGACATTGGGCTGCCACTTCGACAGGCCCGAGCGCAATCACTAAGCAAGAGATCAATTCGCGGCCAATGAAAGAGAGGGAGAAGGTCGCACCTCCCACTCCGAGTTCGCAAAGTGTCAAATCGAGATCGCAGTCGCGCGAAAACGAGCTGCGCGGAATGCCAAGGCTGTCATGTCGGTCGCGGCTCGCACAGCATGCCGCCGTTGGCGGAGCGAGCAGAGAGAGAGAGAGAGAGAGAGAGAGAGAGAGAGAGAGAGAGAGAGAGAGAATGTGAGAGAGGGGGGAGAGAGAGAGAGAGAGTAGCCTTCTCTGTGGTGCACATCTTGGCCGAATTGAACCGAGTCCGGTCGTATTTGCAGTCTTCACCAGAGGGACCGAGCCAGCCGGATAGGACTGTGCGGATACGCACGGCGCGTCTCTTTGCGTCGCTCTTAAGGCGGTAATGAAGACTCACGAGGGTGCCCTTTCCTCACCCGAGTTGACTCGTTAATCACCATCCTGGATTTGCAGCAGCCTCGCGCGGGGACGTCCGCGATATCGCGATGAGCGAGAAAGCAAATATGACGTGCCGTTCCTTCAGCTCCATTGAAAAGTAGGTGAGCATGCGCGCGCGTGAATTGTAATTAGAGCCGTGCGTATACACAGGCTGCTTGCGATGATTAGATCGCTGTTTGCGATGGAAATGGAGGCGGCTGCGGCACGCGAGGAAGCGATCTCCTAAGTCGCGGGCCGGCGGCGGGTCGGATTTCCCGGCAGCGAAGGTTAATGACGAATTGTTAATGTTTACTTGAAAATCGCGCTCTCTCTCTCTCTCTCTCTCTCTCTCTCTCTTTTTCGGAGATAAAAGCCCCGGGACAGCTGCGCGGCAAGGGGCGGCGGGGAGATTTGTACGATAGGGGGTAATGAAGATAATGACCAACGAGACGCGCGACGTCAGAATCCGCCCGTCGGAACCGGGCTTTTCTCCCCTTAAAGAGATTGGTTTTCTACTCATCAAAGGTATTGGATTTCACGATCGATACTCGGAGCGGAGCGCGAGTAATCCGAGAAAGCATTTTGACACTGCAAAAAGATAAGGTGCAGCAAATAATGATTAAGGCGGGAGAGAGAGAGAAAGAGAGAGAGCCTGTAATATTCAGGCACCTTTATATAACGATCACTTCTTTTCGTTTACGCGCCGCGGGGAACTTTCGTAATTCACGATGCGGAGATGATCGTTTTCCGGGATGTAACTGTACGCGGGTCGTCGCGAGTGAAGAGACCAAAGGCGGGAGATTGCTTATTCCGTAAGAAGAAAGGCACGCGCAGTTCATCGATATGAAATACAAGGTGAATCCTAATTAATAACCTGGCTAATTTGATAATTTTGCGTGTCATCATGTTGCAGGACCAGCTTCGATCAAGATCAGGAGACAACAACAATTCGACTCGATCAGAAATTTACCTTGTTGACGTCGGGTGTCTGTTTGCCGGCCGGCCTCCGCAGATGTTCTTCAGCTTCGCCAAGACTAGAGATCACGTCGGTGAGGGAGAAAGAAACAAATCAAAATGTCGCGTCACTGGACGAGCCCTCGGCCACTTCGCAGCGAGTATGAACGGATGCCGAAGTCTCTCGAAATTAGAAAAATACAACACACGAACCTCCCAACAGAATCAACCCTGAGCTGCTTTGGTTGAAGAAGCTACGCGTGTATCTATTATAATTCACTGATTTTTCCTTGCGACGAAATCGCTCGCTGATTGGGACACTCGCTTCGAGGGGGAAGAAGATGGAATCACAGAGAGTACAATTGCAGCCACTGCAAATGCCACCGTCGAAAGAAATACCTCCAACCTCGGGAGAAATGCCTTGAAGAAATACCGTTATTCCGAAACTTCCGCAGTTGTTCGATTACTTAACGGAACGCCCGTAGATATATCGCGGAAGACAAAGGGGTGCACGTCGGCTCCGGGAACTCGAGTTCTCTCCCTCCCTCCTTCCCTCCCTCCCCCCCTCTCTCTCTCTCTCTCTCTCTCTCTCGGGGAGCAATCAGCGTTAATCAGCGTTCACGCTCGAAAAATAAATTCCTCTACCTGCTCGTCCGTTCGCGAAAGTTCGCGGTCTACCTCGGATCTTTGCGAGTCCGGCTTGCCGCTCTCTCGCGACTGCCGTCGTCGCCGCCCTTGGAAGCTCCTCGTCGTCGGTCGTCGAGGCGCCGTTTTACAAGGTAGTCGGCAGAAGGAGCAAGAGCAGGATCGTGGTGGTCGACAGCGACGGGTGCCTGAAGTTGCCGGCGTTCAGGATGACCCAGGGCGGCGGCAAAGAAGGCACGACGGGCCTGTCGGTCCTCTGGCCCTCCTGGGGAGTGCTGCCCGACATGATCTGCGTGGTACCGAGGTCGTCATCGCCGCCGATCGAGTCAATCTCCTCGAGGCCGCCCAAGTGTCCCCGTCTGCCATTGTTGCTGTTGCTCTTCTTCTTGCCCTTCATCACCGGTTTCTTCCGTGGCCTCAGGTCAGTGTTCTTCGTCAGCGTCGTCGGCGTGGTCTTGGCGGACAGGTGCAGTTCTGAGCACAAAGCATCAAAAGACGTTTTCTCTCTCTCTATCTCTTTCTCTCTGCGATCGAGTGGAAATTCGAGTTGTGCGTAATGGAAAGTCCCGACAGCAGTTTCCGTCGAGTTGCAAATTTCACTCGAGAACTGCCCGAGTAGAAAAATTAATAGGGCTCTGATAAAGGCCTGATTATGTTTCCCAAATATTAATCGGGCCCTGCAAGATGTGTAACAAATGGTTTAACGGGTCCTTATAAGGTAATATTAATAGGGCCTTATAAGGAAATATTTTTATTATTGCTCGAGTAAAAATATTCGTTTTTTTCATTCCAAGAAATTTAGACCGTAATTTCTTTATTTCTTTATAACTTTGTTAGTACACAACAGGAATTTTTTATTTTAAAAATATAGCATTCTTTACATAAAAATTCTATTATTGTTTTTGTTAAAGTTTGCTACATTTCAAAACGAAGGCAATACTAGAAAAATCCTTGGAAGAGACTAATGAATAATGGCAACTAATAAAACTAATAAAATTTGTTTTTAATTGAGGTATAATTAAAAAATCTTTAAAAGAATCAGATACAGCGTACTTATTAAAACAATACTAGACTATGACAATTTTATTACACGCTTCAGATCTTATTAATTTTTTATAAACAAAACTTGATTTTGTATATCTAAAGCATCCTTTCTTATAAAAGATCCTTTTAAGGCCCACATCAGTTTTCCATGTTAAAGCGTTATTTCGTAAAATTTAAGGCACCCCTAAAAAATCCTTCTAAGGCCTTTTCCTTATTAATGCCTTATTTCGTAAAACCTAAGGTATTCCTAAAAGATCCATCTCGGGGCCTGATGTGGTAATAATGAGGCATCCCTTTCTAGGGCATCCTACTTTCAGCTTTACCGGGGCCTTATGCTTTATGAGGATGGCGCTGACAATTTTTTGCTCGGTTGAGTCGAGAGTTTTCACCGATGAGATCAGATAGTATCATCGGTCGCACGATTATTTCGTAAATAATCGTCCGACAATTCGGGGACTCGAGCGACCTCGCAATTTGTCGAGATGGAACCTTTCAATTTTTCTCGATAAAAAACGATCGATCGCTGCCTTCGACTTGCGGAAAAAGCCGCGATCTCGCGTTATCTAACGCGCGGCTTGATCGCAACTCACTTCGCTGGTCGCTCGGCCAGTTTAAAAGCGGCCAGCGAGAGCGGTATGTGAGACCCAAGGAAATACGAATTTCACGATAACATCGGCATGCTCCGTACCTTGCAATCGCACCACGCCGTCGGCCCGTCCAAGCGCGTTGACGGACGAGCACACGTATCCGCCGAAGTCCTGCTTTTCCAGCGAATTGACAGTGAGATTCATTTGCCAGGAGTAATCGCTCAGCGCAAACTCCGACATCGTGTACTTGTTACTGGGCAGCAGTTTCTCGTCTGTGTGGAAAGGAAACGGAAATATCGCGCTACTTTTAATTGCGTGGTCTTCTCACTCGTCGGTGCTGAACGCGTTCGCCGCGAGATTTCATTTCCGTCGCGCGAGAGATCGATCGAGCGCACGGAGGTGCGCGATTTTCAAGCTAATTTTGAGCGCGGTTCGGACTCGAATTAGCGTAATGAAAAGTTATATATATTAGGCGTACGCAAATGTTTTAGTCCTTTTTTCAGCCCTTTAATGCAATTATTTTAAATCGAAATATTTTCCCGCCGCTTTGTGTTGGATAAACTCCTTGGAAAAATACCAATCTTGGAAAACACAAAACGCGGGAAAATATTGCAATTTAAAATAACTATATTAGAGAGCTGGAAAGAAAGACTAAAACTTTGGCATACACTCAATATGTCGTGTAATGTAACATTAATTATTCCTGAGTTTGCTTATTGGTGCTCGCGAGCACATGTGTCGTCGAAGCAAGTTGCACCGCTAACTAAACATGTAGGCGCTCATGAAATTACCGTTCCAGTGGCTAAACTCGTAAAATTTAGTTACAAATAACTTTTCTATCAACTACATGTACTCTCGTAATTCATCTTTCATCATTTTCGGGCTGAATAATCATGAGATAAAATGAGATAAAAACGACAAAATAAGTAAGAAATGTCTTATCAAACTTCTTGAGAAGATGTGGAGAACATCGTCAGAGCAAGTCCCGTATCGAATATAACTTTCTTTCTCGTCGGATACTAATTTTTGCAATATTTGACTCATCATGTAAATATTTTTGAATGTTAACAGACTTCAATGAAATGTTGATATTATCAGATAGACCAGAGAAAATATTAGAGATTAATAATGATAAGTTTCTATATATATATATATATATATATGTCCGGATATACAGGGATACGTCTGTCTTTGCTACTTTTACCTTACTCATTTATTTATTTATCGCGCACGATCAATGCAAGCGCACGAATAAATTACGTCGCTAGAATCGTCACCAGGAATGTTTGCAACTCTGACAGGCTTGATTTCTCGACCTGTGACGTTATCAAGCACTGCTCATTCATTATAATGAGTACCAACTGTCCCGCAAGTTTGGAGCCCTTTTTTCGAACACCCTGTATATCACAATATGCGCGGTATACGCGCGCGCGTTGGCGACAATTTGTCTTGCGCTCCGCGACGTTACACGGGTGAGTTTTGGTTGAACATGAAGGACGGCTGACGTTTACCGATGCAAATTGTTAATACCGCGCTGGGAGGAGAGGATCAAGCAGATTTCTCCGTGCGTACGAGAGGAAACGAATGAAGACGCGGAAAAAGCTGTTTGTATCCGCGGCCGCGTCAATAACCAGCTTGAAATACGTTATTCGCAGACTGCTTTTTTTCCCTATGACTTTCCAATCACGGCGATGCGAACGTGATTCAGTTTTTGATTCAGACTCTCCACCAATTATCCCTGTGTGTATATTTTTCGATATTCACGTAGCGAGGAATAAAGTGACGCATTGAAATCATCATCCGCGGCGGATCGAGCGGACCGTCGTCGTTAATCAGAAATTTTCGAATGCGCCGCATTTCACGGGAGATTTACGCTTTTCCGGCGCAGCGGCGCGTTCGCGAGCAATTCGCAAATTTGCGAGTTTCATTAAGGCAAGCGTCCGCATCGCGAAAATATCCCCCTTTTTTTCTGCGCGATGTAATAAAATCGCGCGAAATGCAGATTTTCAATTTGACACGATCATCGCGTCACGTTAGACCGCGCGTCTCGCGGATTGATTGCGAGCGATTCTGCGCTGTTAATTAAACCCCCGTCGGGGTGGCCCGTGACGCTGTAAAATTAATTACAAGATATTCTAGCAGATCCGGAGCGCGTTTGCGGTCTGACCGAATTCGCCGATTATTCCCTACTTCAAGCTCTTCGTGCCTCGGGAAATCTCCAAAAATTCTATTGAAAGAGGGAAGTCCCGTTTGAAATTGAAGAAAGAAATTGCTCTCGACTGGGAAAGGAAAAGAAAGGAAAGGAAAGGAATAGGAAAGGAAAGGGGAAGTCGAAGATGTCTCACCTGGATCTTTGTACCAAGTGTTCATGGCGTGCGGAGACGCCTCGACGTAGCATTGCAGCACGACGTCGCTGTTAACCGGCGCAGCCACCAATTGATTCGTCACTTTAATAAGAGGTTGAACTGAAACAATCGAGCATCAAATCACCGCGATTAACGATTCGACGATAGGCATCGGCGGATTAACGTCGGTCGATGCGCGCAGAGCCGCGCATCGCTCCCCTTAATCGGCGGCTCGTTTGTCGGAAGAAGCGCAATTAAGGCCGGTTCACACTGGTCGCGGGCTCGGTGGCGGTGTCATCAGCGTGCAATCAAAATGACCAGGTTTGGCAAGTAACTCGTTACTTGTAACGAAGTTACAGTTACAATTATTTCCTTTTTGCTAACTATATATATATATTAACTTTGTCCCGTTTTTTCCATCTATAACTGTAACTTAACTTAGTTACGTTCGTTTGACTAACTAGTAACTAATTTAATGGTTACTTTAGTAGTTACTTTATATATTTCAAACTTAAGTTTCTGGCAGACTAGCACGATAACGCGATGTTTGATATCCAATAAGCATACAGTTATGGCTGCATTTGGAAGACGCGCTATTGCGTCATCTATCTTTATCGTTTATTAGATCGTTGATTATCGTTGATTAGATGTAAAACAAGGATAAAATGACGCAATAGCGCTGACAGTCTCCTCTCCGAACGCAACCTGTATTTCTTTCAAAAAAATTGGACGCCTGTTGGACATTTCCGTCGTCCGTCGCTGGTCCTTATTTGTTAACATAACTTGCAACTTGCAGCGTGAAGTACGCTGTGTGGTTTCAGTTATGTAAACAATTCAAGCAAAGGATAAAACATCTCAATCTTCGGAGAAGGATTGTAAAATGCCATGGCCAGTATATGCAGAAATATTCGAGTTACAGCAAAAATTTGGAAACGAGAGCAACTGAGTATTTCTCTGCAAAATTTGCGCTGGTAAAAATATTATTTTTGCAAGTAGAACTTTAACTGCAAATTTAAAAAAATATATGAATGAAAGTCTTTATTTATAAAATATCAATATATTTTTTAGCGAAAAAATTTAATTTTTAATGTTAAGATATTTTTAGTACTTTTAGTATTTATTATCCTCATCAAATTCATTCATTTTCTTATAATTGTTATTAATAGTTTTAAAGAATAAATATGAATTGCTTATTTAAATTAATGAATCTAATTTGTAAAAATTATATGAGGAATATAATAATCAACAAATTATTTTTATATAAAATTGAAGAAATTTACACAATTACGAAATTTGAAATAATAGCACAATTATTGTAAAAGAGTAACTGAAAAGTAACGACTCGTTACTTTCTAAATTACTATAACTGTAATATGTTATTTTTGAAGATCGGTAACTTGTAACTGTAAGTTACTTTTCCAGTCAAAAAACCTGTCACTGTAACTAGATACTTTTACAAATTAACTTTCTCGACCCTGAAAATGATCGAGAACAAAATGCTGTAAACAAATGTCTCGTTGTTGACACCTTTTCCTCCGAACTAAGCGGCTTCGCAGCAGCAGAATGCGATCAGGCTGATTCGACAAAATTGCCAGTGATGAAAGATCTTTTGCTGTCAACAGACGCGCGTTATCAGCGATGTTATCGCGAGCCGGCTGAAAAACTTGCGCGACTCACAATCTCGTTAAAGCAAAATTTCTCGCTCCGCCTCAGTCGTGAGCCGCTTTGCCGCTGAGAGTGAAATACGCGGGACGTCGCTCGAGGAGAAGCTCGCGATGTATCTACAAAGGAGTGCAGCGGAGTCGGAGCAGCTGGGGGCTCTTCCTCCCCGGCGGAGGAGGGCGCGGACGGGGAGAAAAAAAATGCACTCGGCGGTCACAGAAGGCTGCGCGCACGCTCGCGCTCAAGAATTAACCGGTTGCGGCAGAATTTTGCGCCTCCGCGCAGCGGCCACCAGCGACAGCGGCGCGGCGGTGGCTTAATATTACATTTCGTAAGCAGCGAATTAATGAGAAAGCCTTCGCGCTCAAATATTTACACGCTCCGCGACGACGTGGATAAATCGTCAACGCCGCTGGTTAATTTTGCAGCGCGTGCGGTCGAACTCGGGGCCTGTTAAAGTTTTCATTTGCGAATATCGTTAGTCAAAGTACACGGTGATTTTTCTCAGCCGGCCGATGCGCTGCGCCACACATGTTCGCGCGTATATTCCGGCCGATTCTATTGTCCCTTTCCCTCTCTCGCCCTCTCAGGAGAGGGTCGGTCGATCGGAGCGTTTTCCGCGACCGCTTCGTTCCTCAACGTCGCGAGCTTGGGCGGTTCGAAGCAAGATTCCTTTTTTTTCTCTCGCTGCCGGATTGTCGCTCGACACGCGTGGGTGATAAGATTTTTTTCCGCTCCGCGCTGCATTTTTCCGCAACGGAGCAAAATGTTTGGTCGAACGGAGGGGCGGATTTTACCGACGGATTTTTGTAAAATTGTCGCTGAACCCGAGCATAACGCCGGCGGTTTCCAGCGGCAAAGTTTCTGAATGGAAATTTTGCCGCGGCGTAGATATCGAAAAATGTTTCGAAGTTCATCTCGACCTCATTTCCCATTTAAACCCCGTCGGCGTATCCTTGACCACAGCGCCCTACAGCAGCCGAACGATAGTTTTATACCGATATTGAAGGAGTATTAATAATCGACACGGTTATACCGTTCTCCTAATTAAAGCGGACTATATCGCGTTGCGAGAACGTTTAATATGACCCAGATGCGAAGAGGATATTCTCCCGGTCGAATTGTGAGACGATTGTATTTATATAATATTATTTACATACGCTGTGATACGCGCGGATGGGAATATTACACCCCTTCCACCGTTACTCTCAATAACTTTTCGGGATTCGCATTACGTGCAGTTGGAAAATATTGCTGTAGTCGCGCGCATTCGAGAAAATAATGAATTGTTGACTCCTGCTAGGCTAGGCTGTTTTTGCTGTCCTCTGCTGCTAGGACGGATGAATTTTCATTCATAATTTTTTTTATTTCTTTGAGCGTACATGAGCTATGGATATCCGATAAAAATTTGTAGCAATGTGTGAAACAGTTTTAAATGCAATTTCTTGAAGGAAAAATAATAAATTCCCCGCGAAAAAAGACTTTTTTCACTTGAGCATAAATCATCTAAGATTTTTATGAACATTATAAATCCTAGCAGGATACCGCTACGTAATAATGTGCTGCTATCTAGTGGCAACAATTAAAAAAAAATATCCACGGTTAAATTTCCACACATCCTAGTGCTCAAGGATTAATTATCACACTATATTTCGCGACATCCGAGAGTCTCGAAATTCCCTCGTCCGGATGTTCATCCCTCGACAAGTTTGCCGGTAAAAGTGCATTTCGGCATACACTGACGGCTTGGCATTATAATCATTATGTAGCCGAATTAATTAAACAATTAATTAACGCGCTCATCCTTACCCATCCATCCTGTCACACGTAAACTCGCGATGGGCGGTAGCACGCGGGTAATTATGCCGGTAGCGCGCAGGAGCGGTCTAGGGAATCCTTCAACACGTTGAGAGAGAGAGAGAGAGAGAGAGAGAAAGAGAGGGAGAGAGAGAGAGAGAGAGAGAGAGAAAGAGCGACAGAGACAGATGCCCGAGATCGAATACACAAAATCCGCCGACGCGTCCTCGTCTCGAGGCAACCGTTTATATTATAATCGCGCGTTCACGCTGGAAAGGTTCGCTTTTCGGGAGAAAATATTTCATATTTGCCGACGCACCAGCGAGCCTCGCCCGCGACCTTATCGCTGTCCGCGAAAATTCTTGTCGATGCCTGCAACCGCCGGTGCGGGCGAGCGATGGTGTTCGACGTCCCGGACGACACTAATATATGCAACGCGACTACGACGACGACTAATTAACGGCCGCAGCGCGGCGCGATACCTACAATGAACGTCGACGGAGTAACGCTTGCTGACCGTCGGCGGCACGTTGTTGCTGGCTATGCACAGGTACGTGCCCATCTCTTGTCGAAGCACCCCTGCTAGCTCCAGCGTCTCGCCGACGAAGGTCTTGACAGCTGCAACACGGAAGAAACGCGTGATGGACGAAGGTTAAAAGCGAGTCATTGGTGGAGCTCGCATCGGATCAGCTCGGACTTAGCGACGGGCGAACCGTAGAAATAAAATACAAACAATTTAAACAAATACGTGTTGAATTGAAATTACAGTTTGTGTAAAAAAATTAAAAGAAAATATTTTGCTTAATTAAAAAGATAAACATTAAAATTGCAAAGATAAAATATTTTTACTTTTAGAAACTTTAGCAAGAAATTAATTAAAATTACAGTTTGTATGAAAAACTAAAAAAAATATTTTTTAATTATAAAGATAAACATAGAAAAATTACTTGTCAAAATAATTATTAAAATTATATCCGCTTTTACATCAAGTTTATTTTATATGAAAGTTGTAGCTTTTTATATTCGTAAAATCATTCTTTGACCACATAACTAAAAATTGCAGAATTTATCTATTACGTTCTCGAAATTAAAATTATAGAATCATTTTTTGAATAAATTTTTTGTAAAATACAAACAATTCAAATAAATAAGTGTTAAATTCAATTTACGGTTTGTGTAAAAAAAAATATTTTTCTTAATTAAAAAGATAAACATTAAAATTACAAAAATGAAATATTTATTTATAGAAACTTGATCAAAAAATTAATTAAAATTAAAATTAGTTTGTACGAAAAATTAAAAAAGATATTTTTGATTATAAAAGGAAACATTACAATTATTTATTAAAATGATTATTAAAATTATATCTATTTTTATATGAAGTTTATTTTGTACGAAAGTTATGACTTCTATATTCATAAAATCTTTCTTTGACCACATAACTAAAAATTGCAGAATTTATATACTACACTCCCGAAATTATAAAATTATAGAAATAATATATTTTCGTTTTTAGAAGCTTAATTAAGAAATAAACAACAAATACTAAATAAAAATCTGTTTTTCAATTAAACAAAAAATAAATGTGGGTAACACAAAAGAGAAATATAAACTGCTTCCTACAAACTTTGAGAATAACAGACACAGATGTAGTTTTCCTTGGAAATTCCTAAATTGCACCGGTAAATATATCAAGATGATACAATTTAAGAGACTAGTTGTGTCTTCCAAATTATGGCAGCGAAAATGACTAGCAAAAGCAGCTAAATTAATATACTCTCTGAAACTTTTGAAACGCCTAAATTAAATTGAATTCGATTTTCTACTGAAAACAATCGCTTTGTACAAGAATCGAGCAGAGTCATTAAAAAAAATCGGTTTTTCAGGGAAAAAATCGATTTTAGTGTTTAAATTAATCACATCGATACGACAAAAAAAACAATTTGGGAAACTACACGGTAGAATTTAAGCAACTAGTTGCCAAAATTGTACCACTTGCAGAGGTTTTAAAAAACGACGAATCTGCAGAAGATGTGCGTAAAAAGCTTAAGAAATTATAAAACATCACAAATCAAGGATAATTTCCACCTAGTCTTTGTCTTATTTTTATCAAGTATTTGCAAACTATGGAAAAAAAAATTGAAAACTGGTCCATATAGGCAACCTTCCCCTACTTGCTCATCAGTGGAGTCGAAAGAATCGATTTATGCAAAATCAAACAAAAGAGCGATTTCAAGAGCTCTGCAATGTTAATAATTCGTTCGGCGCGCATGCTGCGAGTCGGAAAAAGTACTCGCTCAAACGTTGTTGCTCTGTCGTGGTCTCAGACTACTCGCGGTAACACGATCGTGCCGTCGATTGAAAGTCAAGTTTGGACGATTCGATGCGGACTCGGACGGAATTCCGTCGATTCGACTCGACGCGGGAAATCTGCGGATCTCCAGCGGAACTCCAGCGGGCAGCCATGAATTCCACGTGCGCGCTCGCAGCAGCTGCTCGCCGACGTGTCGACCCTCGGGACTTCGCCGAGCGAGATTTCATTGGGAAAACACCCTGATCAAGCGCAGTCATTCAAATTCGAGCGACTGTCCGCGCGCGAACCCTCCGCTCCGAATTCTTCCGAATTCGAGGTCGAACGGCGAATTTCTTGTATCGCCCGCGCCACCAATGGAGAGAACGCCTTCGCTCCGGTTGCCGGAGACATCGAAACTCCGCTCGCACAGATTTAGAATTCGCTCTAAGCTGGAGTGTAACATTCACCCTCGCGGTTCTCCGAGCAGCGGTACTTTCGCCGTCGCTTCGAGTGCAAATGCCGCCACTTTTCACGCGACTCCACTCCGACAAGTTTAGAGAGTGGAGATGCTTGTATGGAAGAGTGGATCCTGAGTACCGATACTTATTTCTTAACTTGACAGCGAGAGCACGACAGCGAGAGCACGAATTAGTAACGCAAGCTCGAGTCCCTCCCGCTGAGTCGCATCCTGCGCGTTTCGCAGGATCGCCTCCGCCGAGGATCCTCGCGTTCTCCAGGCCAGACGGCAAACATCGACGGCGTTCTAATTAGCCGCGCGCGACGGTCCTCTCGCGTTGTTTATCGGGATGTGCATTAAAAGTGCATACGACGTGGCCGTGCTCGTGGCCGCACGGAGTCGCCGACAGGAGCGGCTTCCGCATAAAAATACATTTTTAACGCAAGTGCTCTCTTGCCGGAGGCAGGTGCGAGAATCGTTTGAGATATTACGCTGCAATTTTTATGGCGCACTGCTAAGGTCGTCAGTCGCCCCCTCTCCCCTTTCCCCCTCGCCCTCTGCGGTCCCGTTAAGAGCCACAGGGAATAAGATGAGAACTAATATGGGACCGCCCCGTAGAGATGATTTCACGTGCCGAGCATCATTTATACGAGATCCTTTAACGGCAGGAGCGAGCCGACGCTCGTCGAGGCCAGGCGGGAGGAAATGAAAAGCGTTACGCTCACATAATTAAAAGGACGCGCGAGTATCCCCTCGCGCCGTCTCCGCCGCATCTTTTGCGTTCAGACCCGGCGAGGTGGTCCATCGGGACAGCCGATCGTGTCGAAGCAAGGACTTGCGCTTGAGGACCTCGCGACGGAGGCGTCCTCACGACGGCGAGGAGGGGAGTCTCCTGCTCGTCGAGCGACGTGATTAATTCAGCAGCTTCCGGGCGCTTCGAACTCGCTCTCCGCGCGCGCGAGGCGAACGGGACGTTCGTCATTACCGGCAAGTAGCCGCGCGCAGGAGCTACGGGGAAAAATCGACGGCAAAAAGTGACCAGAGACTCACTTATAACCGTGCGATCGCTCGTTAACCTGAGGAATTTCGAGCGCCGTTGTTACCCGGCAAGCGCCGTGACGTTTTTACAGCGCAGACCGGGCCGGCCGCTCTCGCAGTTTAATCGCTGCACCGAGCAGCAGGACGAGGACGAGGAGGAGTCACGTCGCAGACGACGCGCGAGATCTCGATTGCCAACGGGTGGCTCGTTCTCTCATGCATTTCATCTCGCGCGATATGCGAGGGAATCAGCGGAAAGGGGCTGGGGGCGACTTTACGAGCCTTCGCCGGTGTGAAACGTTCTTCGCTCTTCTCCCCCCCCCCTCCGTTCCTGTTTTTCTCTCCTTTTCCGCCGCGCCTCGGCGTCGGCCGTGCTGCACCTTCCATCTCTCTCTCTCTCTCTCTCTCTCTCTCTCTCTCTCTCTCTCTCTCTCTCTCTCTCTCTCTCTCTCTCTCTCTCTCTCTCTCTCTCTCTCTCTCTCTCTCTCTCTCTCTCTCTCTCTCTCTCTCTCTCTCTCTCTCTCTCTCTCTCTCTCCCTCTCTCTCTCTCTCTCTTGATCCTGTCGGAGACTGCCCGTCCTGGCGGCCGTGAGTCTCGTCGAAGTGCTACCCGCGTTTAACGAGTGTCACCCCGGGTGTCCTCCAGGTGTCTATTTTTACGACGCTTCGGAGATCAGCCCGACATGACTGGCCGGTGGAAACGGCACGAAGCGACGATTACGATCGGGGCATTTCTTCCTCCACGTCCGCCTCTCTCGTGGAACTCCCAGTCCGGCTTTTTTCGCTTCGACTGATCTCCTTCTCCTTTGCGCTCGCGCGCACGAGAATGACGCTAAGAGGACAGGTCGTCGGAGATTCGGAGATCTTCCAGTGGGTAGATAGGATCGCCCACGTTTGTACACGGCATGTACTTCGCGAGCGGATCCCGGGATTACCGGGGTGACGTGGGCGGATTGCTTGTAAGAGCGGTCAATAAGTGCACTTTAACCTGCGAAGAACGACGGCTTGGTCCTCGATGTCGCACGCGCGCGCGCGCAAGAGAGAGAGGAAATCGTCGGCTCTTGTAAACTTTAATCCTTCGGGAGGGATCGATTGCCAGTTTATTTCAACTTTGCCGACTCCACATGTGCAGATAAAATGTTCACGACCGTTCGGAGATTTATTCAATATTTCGTCGATTAATGAAAAAAATTCTTTATCTCTCTCTCTCTCTCTCTCTCTCTCTCTCTCTCTCTCTCTCTCTCTCTTCTTATACATTTTTTTTCTTAATCCGGAAAAACGTCGAACAATTCCCCGGGCGATCGTCAAAGTTTCCGGTTTGCGTCGCGACGCGATGCGTTGTTTCATCTCGCGGCGAAACCGCGCCATGTCGTCGTGATGTATCGGCGATAACGATGGAGAGACAGAGAGGCAGGGAGAGGGGAGGGGGAGACGAGCGCGTACGCTACTGTGCACGCGTATATTTATCGATTTATTTATTTTGCGATTTAACTTCAAACGGTGCGCTGTAATTTATGGCCGCCCCCTCCCGCCTCCGCGGACGTATACCGTGTGCATTGTGGGGAGCGGGCTTATACATTTGCCGCGCGCGGCGCGTAAATTACCATTCGCGCTGTAATTAATTACCGGCGGGCCGGTGTAAGCGCGAGACGATCGATTACTCCGCGCTGATGCGCCCCGACACTCTTTATCGGCCCGGCACTTTTCCGTTGCCGTGTCGGCACGCCGTGACCGTCGCCGTCTTAATTAGAGACTCGACGAGATCGTCGGGAGCTCGTGCGACTCGGCTCCCCTCCTTCCCCTTCTACCCCCCGGGGCGTACGCATTTGAAAGCTCAGCGCGTCTTCATCGATGCGAAATACGCCTTTCCTTCTCGTATTCGTACATGTCGCGCTCGCGTTGTGTAATATCAAACGCGCAATAATCAATCACGAGCAATGAAGGAGCGCGCCTGCGAAAGATTGACTATAATGATCAACAATGACGGAGTCGGCAGTTGAGCGTTGCAAAGAACAGCCCGATAGCCGCGAGTGGGATGTCGGAGATATTTCGAGCATGGTAATGAGAGAAGACGCACGCGATATGGCAGCGGGAACACAAAGCGAATTAATTTTTCGCTCGTTTGCCCGGGTAGACGAGCAGTTATCGTGTAAACGGCCGGCCGACGAATGTTGGCGAGTAACACGGAGGAAGATAATTCGCCGACCGCCCGCCGCGGTCGTCGAGATTTTTATTCGCCATTGGGTTGCAATTTTCTCTTTGCGACAGCATTATCTCCCGGGTATGAAATTCGCACGCACGTGCCGGCGTTAAATATGAAAGGGGGGAGCAGGGCGATGTTTGTGTGTGTGTGTGTGTGTGTGTGTGTGTGTGTGTGTGTGTGTGTGCGCTGCCGTTATATCGCGCGCATACCTCGCGCGATGTCCGACGCGTTGAATAAATCATCCCGCATTCCACGGTCGCGATGAATCACGGAGATGAAAGATACAATGGCGTTTCAATAATAAAGCTAAGACGGCTCGCGCGCGACAATTGCCTGCGACTCTGTTCCTGCTATCGCCTGTCTCTCGTCCCCTCCTCCCCTGGGATTTCGCCGTCCAAGTTTTGCGTATTTTCGCTATTGGGTGAGACGTCAATCTTCAAACGCGCGAGTTCAGACCCTTAAATTTTTCCCGGCTCTCTTTTTAACCCCTCGACTGGCGGAAACTGCCTTTTGACATTTCTGATAGTTGAATATTTCCAGAATTGGGTATTCAAATGGCGATCCGTCTTATTTCATGGTAAAATTCAAAATTCAAACTCGAGAGAGCGAGTGTAATGTGGCCGATTGAAAATTGAAAAAAAAATGCCAAAGTTTCACGAAAATCTGAGGTAGCTGCTTTCAATGGTGAGTTTCGAGACTAAAAATTCGAAATGGCGAGTCCACAAACCAATATAAATTATCAAAATAAAGTATTATCTATATCTATCACTATCATATTATACAATCCATTTTTCACTCCTTTTTTGCCAGTTTAATTTGAATTTCGTACCTTTGCGAAATTTAGATTGACTATCGGTGGATTAAATAACGAGACACTCTTGCAGGGGAAGATGGTAACGTGGTTGTATGGTGTGATTTGATTGTTGGCTTTTCTAAAAATTAAATCATCGTGCTTGCTGATTTACTTCACATTAAATTCGTCATTTCCATCACATTTTCTCTCGATCTCCGCTTTATAAATACATTCCAGTGAACTAAACAAGTACCTCTTCACACCTGTTTAAAAGCGGGCGCAAAAAGCGGCCGAACGAAGTAATGTAAATTGTGATAAACAGCTATTTTAACGCGGCTCTGACGGAAATTAAATACATCGGTGTAATAATAATCCCATAACGTTGCATTGATTAGTACGACGAAGAACTTAATTAACGCGTAATCGGAGTTCGTTACTGCTTTGTAATGTAGCACCATCAAATACGTAATTAATTAGAGGTCATTGTTTCGACTAGTGGGTGTTATATCAAATTCCGTTTGATTAAATCGCAAATGAAAATTCAAATGCAAGCCTACTATGTTATTTTTGCATCTGAGTACAACGCCGCGTGCGCGCGCGTGCTATTATTATTCCGAAGCCAATTAGTATCCGTTGAAATCGAGAATATGGAATTACTGACGAATGATTAAAACGAAACATAATTGGCTATATGATACTTGTGCTGCGGTATAAAATAGGTATAAAGGAATGCACCGAAATTTATATAGCGCGCTGTTGTTTAAACGAGCCCAAAGTTTAAACACACACACACACACACACACATATATATATATATATGATCTAATAGTTAATTTTTTTCCGATTTTCGACAATTTTTTATCTTTATGTAAAAATCAATAGAGCAAGATTAATCAATGAAGTATTCTCCGTTGTTATCGATGATCATCCGCCACTTTACTGGACACTTGCCGAATCTCATCACGATAGAAACTTGGTGGCTTTGAGACTGTAAAATCATCGATGAAATTTCGTACGTCGTCAACTGTCGAAAAATGTATTGGAGATTTTTTGACGATTTTTGTTGTCAATAGCTCGTGAGGAACCCACTTTCCTTCTTTTTGTATCTTTCCCACGCGATGTAAACGATCGCAAATAGCTTTCTGGCTAAATAGCTTCCAGTTTTCCCGCAAGTTCTTGTTGTGTTTGTGTTTGTATTTTCATTCAGTAGATTTTGCAACTCCTTATCTTTTTTGACTAACCGGAGCGTGGTTGGTCGTGAAGATCAAAATCACCACTTCGAAAACCAGTTTCAGCAGCACAAATCATTTTGGTCGCTTCAGAAGCATTTTCGTTTGAATGAAATGCATAATGCATCGGATACCGAATAAGTTGTTTGTTGACAGTAGTTAACGTAAACACTACTGATTATTTGAGGTTATGTGCATAAAGATTTGCCAAAACAAATGTCATTTCGAAAAGTTAAATGTCTACACTTTAAAACCGCAAAAGAGCGGGAGAATATTTCAATCCCAAATTCTGCTCCGAGCTATGTAAATTTGATCAGAAAGAGTAATAAACTACTAGTACGTGTGAGAAAATTTGGACAAGCAGTTGCCATAATTTTTTTATTCCGACGGCAATGAAATTCGCCGGCGTAATAATAATTTCATAATTTTTTCACGTGTTCTCCATGCCGATATAAAAAGTTTGTGTTGAGGATCCGCAGTTTTTCGCGGATACATCATGTAAGGGGAAATCGATTCGAAATTTGCTGTATAATTAACGGGAAAGTTGGCGCGCCGCCTTTGGAGAGTGTCCTGTATCGCGAATAAATTCGGTTTATATCGTGCGCTCGCTTTGTATATCCGAGCGTGGCGCAATTTGCACTGTTTGACTCTGTTGAATCTGTTATTATCCCGGTGCACTTGAAGCGTATAGTCATGCTGCCGAATGCGTTCGCGAAGCACGCGATTTCAAAGGAATCTCAGATAACTCGATTTTACCGGCATGCCGGCACGCCTGTGTGTGCGAATAACGCGATGCAATGCATATTCTAAAATATCAACGGTAAGTGAATGTAAGTTCATCAGAGCATGGCACAGCGGTTTGCGTGTTACATTTTCAAGCTAGCAAAACCCATTCTATCCGCTAATGTATGCCTATTGAATGCCCCTCATAGAGATGAACATTAATTGCCATTTACGGTGATGAAATTAGGCAGCGGATACTCCAGGCGCGGTTTACTCCCAGACACACACACACACACACACATAGAAACACACAGAGAGAGAGAGAGAGAGAGAGAGAGAGAGAGAGAGAGAGAGAGAGAGAGAACGAGAGGGGGAAGGGAAGGACGGAGAGAGGGAGTGACTTATCGCATTCTACTCCATCATCATTACTTAAAGATTAGCCGTTGCACAAATGAAGAAGAAAGCGATTCATTACTCTTAATTACATCGCGCGAGTTCCCTTCTCTTTGATGAACACCGCGCGCGCGCGCGCGAGCCAGCCCTCCATTGTTGACATCCCTTTTGACCAAAGCGAACCCGCGCGCGGACTCCGCGTCGAATTCCGCAGACTCAATTTTCGTACTCGGGAATTGCGTCTCGCCGAATTATTCCGTGGCTTGCTCTCTACGCGGGGGGTAAGGGGGGAGGGGAAGGGGGAGGAAAGACAGATCGTTGCGAGACCCGATGATGCGCTTACATTGTTTCTGCCCGTCCTCCCGGAGAACGATGTTGCGGCCGTCCTCCCGCTTCCAAGTGACGATCGGTTTCGGCGACCCCGTGGCGACGCACCGCAGCTTTATATTGCCGCCCTCGTGGGTCACCATGCCGTCTGAGGACTCGTCGTCCATTATGTCGGGTGGTATCACCACCTCCATGTACCCCATCTGAAGCAACAAGACAGAAAGAGGAGAAACGTACAGAGTCGTCGTGAGCAACGCGAGAAACTTTGCGTTTCGGAGTCTGATCGCATGCGTGCGCGCGCGAGCTCGACTGCTTTCCTTCTCTCCCTCCCCCCTCCCGTCCTTTTTTTCAGGAAGCAGAAGTGGATCCAACGATGATCGGCGAAGGAGCACGACGTTGCAGCTCGAATTTTCAAAACGGGACTTTCTAAACGAGGGAGACGGCCGCGGATCTTCCGGAGTCTCTCGCGCGTCTCATATCGAGGCCGCTACGTTTCTTCGAGGTTGAAACCGCTTGAAACAGTTCTTCAAGAGAGCTGCAGGTCGCATATTCAGAGAGGAAGGACTCCTTTTCTCGCAGCGCGCGCTCCGCGAGTTGTCTGCGCGCGCCGTTTTGTTACTTGAATTATTCTCCGCGTGCGAGACGACGAGAACGGATTAATTAAATTTCGCCGCTTCGCCACGAACACGAGGATCAAAGAGTTGCAAAGAATCGAAATTCTTTTTTCTGCCGGGTAAACAGTCCGCGGGGGGAGAGGGAGGGAGGGATGGAGGGAAGGAGGGAACGTACTAAGGCGGTCTGGCGAGGACAAGGCTCGCGCCGCTCGCCGTAGAAAAAGCACATTGTTTTACGGTCCCGAGCACGTATACGATGAGAGTATCCTCGCAGGGGATGTAATGTGTAGTGGTGTAGAATTTACTGGACGTGGAACGGCGTGCACGTGTCCTATTCGATTCAATGAGACCAGCATGCAAGGCAAGATATGGTTTACGGCGAAACAAAATAAACGCCAGCCTGAATTCCGGCTCTCCGGATGCGCGCGCGCCGTTTTGCCGCTTGATGTATGTGTGTGCATGTGCGCGTACGTGTTCCCCTTCTATTTTTCCTTCTTTTTTTGATTTAGTTTATTCAATAGACTATTAAATGTAGAGATAACCGCGCTTTGTGTTCATTACCGCCCGTTTTTCAGGGTGAACTCGCCTGTCGCATCCGTCGCGATAATGTTTCGGCGAACACGCGCGCGGTTGTCGAAATTTTGCAGTTAATATTGTTAACGATAATAACAACAATAACAGTGTTTTTGTTTGAAACATAAATTAGTTCACGCTCCGCGCGGTATGTATGTAATACATAACGATGCGGAATAAAATTCCCAAATTACCAAATGATGAAAATCGAGTTTCCCTCAACAACTCTTAATCAGAACAAAAATTTATTATTTGTAAACGTGTTTTTTTTTCGTAAACGATGTATTTATAAGTATGGAACAATGTAAAATTGAACGTATACTCTCGCCAAGCACAAGCACAATTGCTCTTTGTACGAGATTAAAGAATTACACGAATTTACAATACGCCGAATGTTCGGCGAAAATGTGAGAGAATAAAATTCAAGTAACTGAGAAATTATCAATTAATTATGTTAATTGCGCGCACGGCGTGCTTCGAAGAATCAAACTTCCGGAAGCGTGGACGAAGAGAGAAAAACGAGACGAATCTCCGATAACCGCTGCACGGAAAACGGAAGGGGATTTGAAGTCGTGAAATGGAAGCTGAGATTCTCACCGGAGCAAATTACTTCGCGTTTTCGCTAAATTTCAACGCAATTGAAGTAACGCGCACAAATAAACCGACAGCGCAACGATAGGTGCGCCGATGGGTCAGACGACACTCATTATCTCGCGAGTGTACGAGGCCCCCGTGTTCAGCACTAACCCCGTCATCCCCGTGGTCGGCGTCGCCAGCCAGCGCAGTCGTCAGGCTGAAAACGCCCGTCGTGCCGGTGCGAGACGTCAGTCAGCATAAACCGTGCTTAAGTGTCTCAGCGCGAGCTGCCGTATAAAAAGGGCGCCGTTTTACGGCCCTGGGCGCGTAGTGGCGACAAGGGCGGTTCACCGGGCTGCTCTGTGCCGGGCTTAACGTGTGAGGGTGGAATTTACTGGTCGTGGTGCGGTGCACATGTTCCGTGGAATTCAATGCGACCGGCAGAGCGGGAAACCTTCCGATGCAATATACGGCCCTGCCGCGTGATAAAGGGCTGAGAGTGCTTGTCGTGGTACAAGGAGCGAGCGAGACGAACGATAGCTCTGGGTGCGATAATGTATTGTGTGTGTGTGTGTGTGTGTGTGTGTGTATGTGGAGAGGGAGGGGAGGTAAGACGGAAAGAAGAGGGTCGAGGAGATAAAAGACAAACGGAAGGAGACCTACGTCGGTACAGGTCAAGACCTTTTAAAAACGTTGATATGGTTAATCGCTTGAGATATTTAACCTCTTGACTGGGGTAGCTGAATTTCGCCAAAGTGTTTGAGTTGGCAAAAGGTGGATTTTCGGAAGATGAAAATATGGTGTCTGGGGGCTCTAGAGGTCGCTGTTTATACGAGTATAAAGCGAAATCTATTCAAATGATGGACCCAACATGGCGGTTGGAAATCAAAATTTTGTTTCATTAGAGTAAAATTGGACATCTGTTGCGAAGAAAAGTTAAATAGCGAATATGGACAGATTTTTTATTTCAAATTTACGAAATAATAAAATACCAAAATAATGGATAAATAATTTGTGATGATACAAAACTTGTGAAATGTTAAAAATTTGTGAAATTGTATAAAACTGTATAAAATTGTATAAATAACATTTTACTTGGGTCGTCAATATTGTGGCTTGAGGACTCGCCATTTCGAATTTTCATTTTCCAAATTCATCGTTAAAAAGAGCGACCTCAGAAATCCCGAGATGCAACATTTCAAAGCTTTTGCAAAATCTTTATTTTATTTATTTTTTTTTTATTTATCAAAATTTTATTTTATTTATCAAAATTTTTATTTATTTTGAATCCTGAAATTCACCGTTAAACGAAGCTGCTCTCTTGCAATGACCAATTATGAAAATATTCAATTACTAAAAATATCGAAACGCGATACTGCGCTTCCGCCAGTCAAAGGGTTAATATATAAATAAATTTAGATATTACACATAAACGTTTGTTCCAAAATTTAACATAATAATCAATGTAACTAAAACCGCGAGCCCTTTGGAAATTTAATTAGTAATGAGAGTACTTGCTATATTTCAAAAATACTCAAAATATCATTAGTTGTCACTAATAATTACTAGCTTTTTAAATTTTTTACACGTGACTACTCGCAAAAGCAGTCTCTTAACCGGAGCGTTGACCGTGCAGGGAAATCGCGTTCTCACATCGTATCCTCCCTCCGCCAGGCCGCGAACGCGAACTGGCCAGACGCGCCTCGCGTTCCGCAGAAAATGCGCATACCGAGCAGATAGAATCGCGATATAAGTACAAACGATAAATAATTTCGCGTCGGTCGAGCGGCGCGGCGGCGGCGGCGGCGTACAACACTCGGCCCGGGATTTAAGACGCGACAGGATATTTCTCGGCCGCGCGAGAGGAAGCCGAGATCCTCGTCGCTGGGAAACAGTCGCTCGAAACCGTACGACGTGCGCACCTGCCGCACCGTCGGTAATAATTTTCCCCGTGCTTTCTCGAACGCGCGCGCGCGCGCGCGCGCGCGGCTCGCCTTGCCGAAAATCTGCATAATTAAAGTCGCGCGAAGCCGTCACGTCGCGCCGCGTCACGTCGCGTCGCGTTGACTGCGCGTCGTTACGCGACTTCTCCGACGAACATAAACCAGAACAGCCTATAAACATTAAACAATAATTCATTTCTGTAACTGTAACAAGCGGTAATTCTTTGCGCTGCGCAATTCGCTGCCACCTTTCCGATTTGCTCAAACCGAGATTGTAGTCGTAGCCTTTAATCGTAGATTATCCTATATTTATTTGTCTGGTATTTAATTTAACTGCAGCTCGAGAAGGAGACGAGTCAATGACGAGCAATGATCCGCTTGATTGATCGATAATGCGGGCCAACGATCGGTCCATCGCTGGAAAGGGCGCGATTTCAACTTTCGAGTGCAACTTACCCGATGTCGCTACGCTTTTCCTACACGGAGATATCGACGAGCAGCGAATCGTTCCTCAAAGGAGGAGAGGCGTCACGTGATGCGCTACAATGTGCCTCGCGCACGTGCCATCCGGCAGTTGCGGTATCGCGCGACTTCCGGCGTAACTTCGAACGTCCACATCTCGGCGAAAAATCGACGTACGAACGTGAGACAAACGGCATTCTCTTCGGCACTTCGCGCCTCGCGGCTTCGGGCTCGTCGCGCGTGCTCTTGTCGTGACACGTGTCGACGCGCATAATTGACGCGCGACGTATCGTTACATAGAGAAGCCGGCGGCATACAGGCGGACAGAAAAAGACAGAAAGTATCGAAAGAGCTTTTGTAGCTTAAAATAGAAAATGGAAAACTTTGCAGGCATTTTTTTCACTGAATCCCATGTAAAAAAAAAGCTTCGGTGTGGTCCGTCATATTTTCGAAGTGGTACGCGCGCGATTTTGAGATCCGGGCCGATATTGCGCAGCCAACGCGTTAAGCGCTGCACGATAAATTCACCGTCGGTTGATGTATGGTCGCGAATTTTCAGCTGCCAAGAATTGACTGCCGGCCGATGTCGGGCCCAAGTTATCATCGGACTATAATCCAATGCTGGGTCAATATTGACTTCCAGTATCGGGTCGATACAGAAAGTCCGGCACGTAGCAACGGCTCCGACGTTTTTTGTTGCCCCACGAAAGATCCGTATTTGTACTTGTGTCGAGGCAACACGACGACTTTTCGGAGCGTCGACACTTTTGTAACTTGCGGCGAAGCTGGTCTCATCGAACTCAGGGAGGTTCTTCCGGAACTGAAAGTCGGTGTATTAGAACTCGAGCGTGAAACGATATCACTTAAGAGCTTTGCGTAAGAATAAGCCGCGAGATTCTGATTTTAACGGCGCTTCTCTTTCCGCTTCTCCTCAAACAGAATAAAATAGTCCCCACTTTTGTAGGTCGGCTTTGAGCTGCAGCTGCAGTGGTAGGTCGATATTACAACCGATATTACACCGCGAAATAATGGCGCCGGTAAAGAAAGCGCGCGTTAAAAAGTTATGGCCGAGCTTGTGTGTGGAATTTTAAAAATTCCGCACCGTCCGCCGGCACGGATCCGACGAAATTGTGCGAAACCTCGATCTTTTTAATCGAATTACGTCGCGCACCGCGGCCTGTCGATGGAAATCGATAGAGCCGCGCGCGCGTAACGGCCGCCGTGCGTGATTCCAGCGGAAACGCCGGCGAAAAATAAAGCGTCGGCTGGAAGGTAAATGGAAATTAATTTAACAGAGATACGTTGTTATTGCGGACGCGAGTCGCAGTTGTTTCAGCATTGCGCTAGATAATACTGTTCGAAGCCGCGTTGGTGCCGCTATTAAAAATAAAAGAAAAAACAGAGAGAGGAGCAAGAGAAAAGAGAGGGAGGGGGGGAGAGAGAGAGAGAGAGAGAGAGAGAGAGAGAGAGAGAAATGGGGAACGACGAAAAACGAAAAAAAAAAGAAACAAAAAACGAAAAAACAGTGGGCAGAGCGACCTCCCGTGTCATCGGGCGTGGAACGTATCGTTGTCGGCAAGTGTCCGCTAATTTGTCCGATGTCGCTCAGCTGCGCTGCGACGCGCGTCATTTCAGCGCGCGTCTCTCAGCGGCGCCGAGCGCCGGTCCCGTTCGCACCTGGGCGATTGCATTTGCGGATGCTCACCTGACTACGCATCGGGTCAGTGTTGACTTGGCACATGTACGTGCCAGAATCGTTCTTCTGAACGTTCGCCACGTGCAGTTTCCATGTGTTGTGTCCGTTGTGCGTGACTGACAGCCGGGAATTGTGCGCCACCATGTGCGTGTGTATCGCCAGAATCGCACGGGAATCCGACTTAATCCAGGCTACCTGGAAACACCGGCAAAGCGGACGGTACTTCTCAAGACACGAGAGAAGGGGGAGGGGGAGGGGGGGAAGAGGAAAGACCCGACGGGATTAACCGTAGCCCGATGGTTCAAGTGCGCTCAGCCCGGCGGAGATCGAAGGTCAACGAGCGAAGCGCGTCGCTCGGTGTATCGATTACGCGCCGGCTCGTCGATTGCGTGGATACGAATTATCGTCGGAGCCGGAAAATTGTAGCGAGTCGACAAATTTATGGAAATTCGGCAATTACGGTGCAGCGGAGCGTCGCGGACTCGGCGAAATCTCCTTCTCCGCGAGCCCGAGCAGATTGAGAAAAGATCGAGGGCAGACATTTTGTTAAAATGCGAACGAGCTGCAGGGATTATTAACGCCTTGACTCGCGTCTGGATATTCTTGGCAGTTTAATATCTCTCTCTCTCTCTCTCTCTCTCTCTCTCGAAGTTTAATATTTACATTCAACTTCTGTTCTTTTCATGACAGACATTCGGTTTGGTTTGGATTGGAGAGAAAGAATCATCAGATTCAATCGCCAGTTGAAAAAGTGTTCGCTTCATCTTCGAAAACGCCCGGACGCGAAATTTTAACGACACCGTCCGGCCGACGCGAATCCATTTTTTGTCAGCTCGAGCGCTTTCGCTCGGCGAAATTTAGCTCACCAGTCAAGGAGTTAAAACTGATCGCGATGGAGCGGCCGAGCCGCGCGGCGAGGAGAGACGGAATTACTACAATTTTCAGCACAATGGATACGCGCATCTATCTTGAAGGTAAATCTGATGAGATCCGGAATTAGCCCGGTGTAACCGACCGACGTTCGCATCAATATTCGCGGATGGTAGTCGCGGACGAACTCGTAGCCCGACTCGGAAAGAAATTTCGATGTCGGCCGAGTGGAAGGTACATGCTTCTATTACGTCGCGTTAACGCGGCTACGACTCTCTCGTCTCGCTGCGATAAAACGCGCCCGCCGCGTCCTCCGATGCAAGTTTTATTACGTAGTTTCCTCGCTGGCGCATCCGCGACATTCGAGCGCGTCGAATTCAACGTCCGTCCGCAAAGCCGTTGGTCAAGACCGCCGCCGGGCAACTTGAAGAGCAAACATCTCTTCGACTCTTTTTCGACGCGACAGCGATCTCTCGTCCGTCTGAAGGCGGTACGAGGCGGGCGAGGGGGCAATTTGTGACAAAAGAGGGTTGTACCTTGTAAGACTGCAGGTGATTAACGACGCAGGTGAAGAAGACGTCGCGGCCTTGTATCACCGTGTGATTTTCCAAAGGAGCTAAGAACTCGGGCAACACGTCCGGGGTGATTTGGCCTGAAACATCGCAGCAAAGTGACGCCGTTCGATTACTCCGTGTCGTCTCTCCTCCTCTCTCGATCGCGCGCGCGCGAGTCCGAGAAACAAATAAGCTCGACAAAAAAGAATCTCCTCCGACTCGCGCGACTCGCCGCGCGTAAAGACTATAAGCCGGGCAGGATAGATGCCGTGCAAATGAAAGAAACAAGAAGAAGAGCGAAAAGGCCGCGAGGCGGCAACGCGAGGATGATGACAAAAGTAATAAAATATTCGGGGACGGCGCGGCGGGGGGAGAAAAGTTTATTGCGTTTGCAATCAATTCGCGAGATTCGCAACCTTCGTACCCCCCCCCTCCCGTCGCCCCGCCAATCCCTTCTCCCCCGATAGCAGCGGGGCCGCTATCGAACACAATAATCGACAAACAAAACGCGTTCTGCGTTACGCTGCCGTTCCGCCCTTTTCAATTCCGCCGGATATTACGCGAGGCGATCGCATCGCGCGCGGCGCGCGCTTCGAAAAATGCGATGCGCGCGAGTGTTTCGGAAAAAGAACTAGAGGAAGAGCGAACGCGCCCCCGACGGCGGCGACGGCGGCGGCGGCGGCGGCGGCGTCTCTGACGAGTGTCTCGCGGAATGCATCGCCGCGATTCGCCGTCGAAGTGCATGCATGAGCGAGCAGCGCGCCGTCGATTAGATATTCAAGGCGGAGGTCGAGGGACGGGCGGAGGGGTGACATCCCCTGTTTCTCTCCCCGGCGTCCCCGCGCCGGAAGAGGAGAGCGGCGCGAAGGCGGCGCGGGCGGGCCGCCCATATTCTCGTATCGAATTCTTGTATGCGTTCATGCAAGAAGGGCGATAAATGGAAAAATTCTTGAATCTCGCAGTCGTAATCCGGACGCCTGGCTCCGTTTTCATGGCTTGGGTTTTACGGCTCTACCCCTCGCCCCGCGCCCCCTTTCTCCCTTCCACTCTGGGCGACGGTTTCTTCTCTCTGTCTCTCAACGAGAAAGAAGGAGGCAGAGAGCGTTGTCCGGCCGTTTATTAACTACTTAAATTTAATTTTCCGATGGAGAAAATGGCCGGGTCGTCAACTGATCGCTGGGAAGCCCCAGTGGCTGCCGAATGCTGGGCAATATCTTAAAATAAATTGTTACGTTGCCCGCTAATATCTCGCCGGTTATTCGCCCGAGTTGACGCGCCATCCCGAGTAGAAAAATTAAATTAAGGGCTCTGGTAAGGGTCTGATTATTTTTCCCTAACATTAATCGCCCTAGTAGGGATAGAAAGACAAGGGCTCTACAAGATATGTAACAAATGGTTTAACGGGTCCTTATAAGGCAATATTATGAGGGTCCTTATAAGGTACTAACAGGGCCTTATAAGGCAATATTAATAGGATGTTATAAAGAAATATTTTTATTATTGCTTGAGTAAAAATATTCGTTCTTTTCATTCCAAGAAATTTAGACTGGAATTTCTTTATTTCTTGATAACGTTGTTAGTATACAACAACAATTTTTTATTTCAAAAATATAGCATACTTTGCAGTAAAATATAGCATTCTGTACACATAAAAATCCTGCTACTGTTTTTATTAAAGTCTGCTGCATTTCAAAACGAAGGCAATACTCGGTAAAGCAATACTTGGAATACTTGGCAATACCTGGAAAAATCCTTGGAAGAGACTAATGAATTTGACAACTAATAAAACTAATAAAATTTGTTTTTAATTGCGGTATAATTAAAAAATCTTCAAAAGAATCAGATAGAACGTACTTACTAAAACAATACCAAACTATGACAATATTTTATTACACGCTTTCAAATCTTATTAATTTTCTATAACAAAACTTGATTTTGTATATATATATATAAAGCATCCTTAAAAGATTCTTCTAAGACTTACATCAGTTTTCCATGTTAAAGAGTTATTTCGTAAAATCTAAAGTATCCTTAATAAACCCTTTTAAGACCCTTCTCAGCTTTCCCTACCAAAGCCTTATTTCGTAAAATCTAAGGTATCTTAAAAGATCCATCTCGGGGCTTGATGTGGTAATAATGAGGCATCCCTTTTTAGAGCATTCTACTTTCAGCCTTATCGGGGTCTTATGCTTCATGAGGATGGCCCTAACAATTTTTTGCTCGGGATTCTAATGCGCGATTACTGCTCGCGGCTCATTTTACGATCCTTTACGATCCCTTACGTTTCCTTCGACTGCGACCTTTGGAATTTCAATTTTGCAGTCTGTAATACACAGAAAACTTGCCAAAGGAAAGCGGAGTCCGAAATAGTCAAAGTGCTACGGTCACGCGCGCATCTCTCTCTCTCTCTCCCTCTCTCTCTCTCTCTCTCTCTCTATCTCTGCCCTTTTCTCTCATACCCTTCTTAAATAATGGAGGAATTCTAATCCTGCGTTTAATTTTTCATAAAGCGCTACGAGCGAGGGAGGGTCATAGCGCGAGGGCACGCGTGCGTGCGTGCATGCGTGCGTGCGTGAGAAGAAAGAGAGACAAGAAGAAAGAAAGAAAGAGAAAAGAGAGAAGAAGCGGCCAGACGGGACGGCGCGACACGAGCACGGTACGCCATGCTTTTATTGTGTTGGAATTTCATTCCGAGTGTAATTGCAATCAGTGAGGTGTAATTCTAGCAATTTGTCGCAGGGATATCTAATTAATTAGGCCCTTTCGCCGAGCGACAGAGCTTGCTACGGACGCGCGCGTGACCTGCCGTCTCCTCGTTAATTACGGGGCGCACTCGCGCGCAGGATGGAATTTTTCATCGAAATTATCACGCAGCATCCGCCCAGGAAATTAAGATCGCTGTGATGTTCGCGGCTGTACTACTCCGGAACCAACTCCGCTCACTCCACTTCGTTTCGCATCGCTCCGTTTGTGTCCAGCGTGAGGGCGAGCGAGAGGAGCGCCGGTTTTTCTGTCTCGAATGGGCAGGAAAACTTAGACAACAAAAGATAGGTAGGTAGGTAGTACTGTATGCGCTGGAGCCAACGTTTATGGAGAACTGGAGATGTCACGTGCCGCCGATCGTGTTTCAGTAACTCGCAATGGCATCTCCGTATATTTATACAGCGAACGTAACTTGAAAGGGCCGCATCATTTCCGAGCGATGCTCTGCTTGTCTATTTCCTGTACTCGTCGGCTTCATCTTTGATTGAATCCAATTGCAACGTGGCAATCGAAGGCAGGGTATCGAGGGATCGAAAGGGTGCAAGCTGGTTTTGCACCCTCTATAATTACATTCGCATAGTACATACCAGCACAATGCCAAAATTTGGCATTTTATGCCATTAGCGAGACGTTTGGTTGAGTGAACGAATTTTCTGGTGAAATTCCGATTCAAAAGACCAGAATTCCGCCCGAATCGAGGAGAAATCTTGATGACTCAGGTTGAATTCTGACAACCTCAACCGGAATTTCTGTATTGTTCATATCTCACCAGAAAATGGTCTCATTTGACTAAACATTTTTCTCCGCGGGCAGGCTTTTAGGATTTCTCGATTTATTTTTTTTTATTTTATTTGTCAACTAATTGTTTCACACGATTCTGGCTTGAGACAGCATGTATCGCTACTTAACGACTGAAATATTTTCCCGCCGTTTTGTGTTTTCGTAAGGTTGCTGTTGAACTTTCTAAAATTGTCATTCATTATGATTGGTACACATAACTTTAAAAATAACGGTTGATGCAACGAGCGACGAAAACTTTACACTCGACGCTGCATTCGATATAAATTATAGCAAGGAAAAATGCTGCTAGAGCATGTGAATCCATTTGCTCTGTTCTTGAAGAAAATATTGCGTCGCTTTAAAGGCCATGATTTTGATGCGAGCGATCATTCGCGGTCTAGAAGGTCACGAAAGCTTGAGGCCGACAATTTGCAAGCGTTGTTGAATGAAAATCCGGCCCAAACTCAAGTAGAACTTGCAGAGCAGCTCGGAATTGACCAAACAATAGTTTCAAGACGACTGTATGAAGTGGGAAAAATTCAGAAGCTCGGAAAATGGGTGCCGCTTGAATTTTCGCAAGACAGCATTACCCGCCGGTTGAGTACGTGCGTTTCATCGCTTTTCAGATAGCGCAGAAAAAGTTTCTTGTCGAAAAGTATTACTGGCGATGAAAAATGAATTATGTATGATGATCCTAAACGCAGACATTCCTGGGTCTTCCGACTCCGGACAGCCTTCTACATCAGCGACAAAACTAAATATTCACACAGCAGAAAGTCCTTTTGTGTATTTGGTGGTATGCGAGGTTATGTGCACCAGTAAATCAGCTATGTAAACCAGTTATCTGTTATGTAAACCAGTTATCTGTTATGTAAATCAGTAATGAATGGCGTTTTAGGAACTTCAGTACCAACCAAGTTAGAAGGGCGAGGTATTTCAATTTAAAATAAAATAATTGCATTAAAAAGACTAAAATTTTTGCATATCTCTAATATGCACCTCTAATATAAGTTACTTAACCCTTTAACGTCTACTGGTAACTATAGTTACCAAAAACACATTTAAGAATCCACAACTTAGTGAAAAAAGGAGATATTTTCGTTTTCTTTGCATCACTGTAAAAGTGAATTCTTCTTCTAAAAAATGGTATAGAGATTGTATGTAGATTCGGTTTAGTCTGTTTTTAGCCCAGTTTTAATGATAACATGTTCTGTCAAATTCCAAGTAGGCATAGTTAGCATTGTTACTGGCATCTAGAAGTGCACTATAAATGAATAGATTGGTATCTGTTATAATTTTATACATTTGGAAGCTTTCTCAGATGCCAAATGTGAAATTAAAAGAATACAGAAATTCAAAATGGCGAATCCAATATGATGGACATAAAAATCAAGAAATCAACCTATTCTCGTGAAACCTGGTGACATACAGTTTTTATGCGGCGGAAAATGAAGGGACGATTGGCTATCTAAATGGTGATCTATAAGATATTCTTCTGAAATAGTAAGCTTGACGCTCTGAATGATAACGGATTGAATTGTATCGAATCAATTAT